TTTCACACTATCCCTCACCACCCTCTATGTCACCTTATATAAGCTTAATACTGCCCTTCAAAAGTATAAATTTTAAATTCATTTTTTCACCCTTGAAAGTGAAGTCTCAAGATCCAGAGAAAAATGAAATCTCTGGTGAAATAAATTATAACAATGGAACCTTAAAGTGGTCTGTTTTTTCTTTAAATTAAATTATATATATATATATATATATATATATATATATATATAGAGAGAGAGAGAGAGAGGGGGGAGAGGGGGAGAGAGAAAAGAGAGAGAAGGTTTAATACGAATAAAATTTGTCACTTAGCTGATTGATGTTCTCTTAGGCATTTGAGCTCTGGAGTTTCGTAGATTAACCTTTTAGTAATCGTTCGGTCCTGACGTCAGTAGGCTTCTGCAAATGACTTCAAATTTTCACATTTTCTTTATTTTTATATGAAATTAAAATTTCTTTTAAACTTTAGTTATTGGCGTTAGGCTGATATTTTCCCCTTTTTATGAGTATGCGTCTTTGTTTACCTGCGTGCGTTCGTGTATGTGCGTATGTGTCGAATGAAGTGGCTATTTCTCTTTTTCTTCATTTTTTTTGCGTCTCCTCATACTCTCTCGCTGTTCTTTTTTTCCTTTATTTATTTACTTTGATTTGCCGGCCTAAATATTAAAGAAATCTTTGCCCTCCGATAGGATTTGAACCTGCGTCTCCCGAGCAGGACGGGCTTTAGACCAACTCGACTACGAAGGCTCTCGTCGATGGAGCAAATCTGAATATTGCATTTATGCATAAATTTCTTAAAATATTCTTGAAACATTCATGTTTAAGTTTGGTATCCTAAAGCAAATAAATCAATTTTTAAGAAGTAATGAAAATTTTATTATAAAACCGACATATTTTATCACTTGAACGTCATATTTAGTGGATAGTCATATTTTTTATAAAATCTAAATGCACAAATAAAAAAAAAATCTCTCATAATGATGCATAGATTACACTATTTGCATTATTGGAACTATTCTCCACATCTTTGTTGCCATATTTATCACAACGTTTCGGCCTTTGTACGTTCCGGCCTTCTTCAGGTGGTTGGAAAGTTGAACTGGTCCCTTTACTTCGCTCGCTGGGGTAGACTGTTCTAATTCCACGTGCCATGTCTAATGAATGTCAGTTATCAGTTATATCCTGTTAATTCCCCTCTCCAAGTTCTCCAATGCCTTAACAGGTATTGAACTCACAACTCTTTGGGTCCTGTCACGGAATCTAACCAACGCCTTTATCCACTGTGCCATGTGTCGTTAAGGACACATGACCACCTGAAGAAGGCCGAAACGTACAACGGCCGAAACGTTGTGATAAGTATGGCAACAAAGATGAGGACAATATTCCGAATAATGTAAATAGTGGACATAATGCCTCATCTCAGAAATATAAACAGATACTCATAGAGCATTTGGGATGTTTTTAAAGATTCTACGCCCAAAAAAGTCATCAACAGAATATATTATACCATCACCTAGTGTTTTTTTTTGTTGTTTTTTTTATGCTGTAGAAGAGACGATAGTCAAATAAGACGAATAGGGAGGGTAATCGACCAGTTCAAAGCCAAAGTCATGTAAAGCACCCAGTGAAACCAAGGGCTTGTAGGCTTGAGTATTGTCCTGAACAATCAAGACGCCTTTCGTCATTTTTCCTGGACATTTGGTCTTCATATCCATTCATAACTGCATCAGATGGTTGGTATTGTACACTTCATTAATGGTGCATACCTTTTGAATATAGTCAATACACACAATGCCTTTAGCATCCCGAAAATAAGAGGTCATCACATTCATGCTGATGAAACGACATTGGCCATCTTTGAAACAAGTGAGGAGGGTTTTTTCCAACGCATGGATTGTCTTTTTGTCTCTGGCTCAAAGTGCTGAACCCAATACTCATCCTGGAGTTTGAAATTTACAAGAAAAACAACTGGATCTGTCTAGAAAAATTGTTACATTTTGCCATGATGTGCTTAGACTGAAGCTCATTTTATCAGTTGTCAGAAGACGTGAAACCCACCGAGCAAAATCCTTCAAAAAAAGTTCATTGTGGAGAATGCAGAAGGATGATGTGGATATCATGGACCGAACATGTGAGTGTTGAACATGTTCACCATAGTCTATGAATATAGAATACAGTGCAGTACATAATCTGTTCAATGATCAACGTTAATGATTAACACTCACGAGTCAGACACTCTACTGAATCTGACTATATCGTCAATACCACCAGCAGCTGTTCCGTAATTCTTCAGTCTTCGATATCAAAAGCTGACAGTGCATATTCGGGAGAAAAAAAACATGGCCGCCTTTATACACGTCGCATTGAATATTTTGAGCCTTTTCATTGGTTAACCCTTGGTGAACACTAAAATTTGTCAGCTGGCTCACTAGTACACCAGGGTACCCAAAAACTCCAACACTGAGCACCGACGACATTTTAGGGAAATTACAAGCAACAAGGATATTGATACAGAGGGTCAAGATTTTTGCATCGAAACTCTTCAGTCGGTTTGCTAGAAAAGGCATTTGATTTTCTTTATCATTTCACCCTATACAAGACAATATATCCTCTAAGATGCAAGGGGTTACTGATCTTTGATTATATCATAAAAAGAAAATATTAAGAGGGGAGAGAACAATAAAAGAACTGGAAAAAATGACAAAGGATTAACAATTGACATAAATATTATATAATTTTTAGTTATATTCTTATATATATATATATATATATATATATGTGTGTGTGTGTGTGTGTGTGTGTGTGTGTGTGTGTGTGTGTGTGTGTGTGTGTCTGTATAATCTGAATGTAACAGCAAAATTATCCAAATCGTGTAAGAACATACCATAATTGTCCATCCCACAAAATGTTTAATATCTCGAAAAACAACTAAACTAATTGAGTTTCTTTTTTCTAAGTTTTCAGATAAGACCTTTATCATTCTTGTCATCATTTGTCGTAAGAATCAGTGAAAAACTCTTTGAGTTATTCAGCTAGAAAAAGAACAGATTAAAATCGTTTTGTGTCAGCCCCACTGTCTTCCCAACTGAGAGCAATGGTGAAAGGATAAATGATCGTTCAGGCTTTCATTAAAGGTATCAACATGCATAGTCTGGCTTCCATTTTCAAGAACCATCACGAGAATGGTGAACAAGTTTTTGAAAAGAGGCACATTAAAGAGGAAAACTGGATCAGGAGGTCACAACAGGAAGAGGGATCATCGTTTCAACTTAGAGCTAAAAAGATCAATTAGGAAAGATACAACTCAATCAATAAACCGTGTTTCAACTATAATAGTCCAAAGAGCAGTGAAAAAAGAGTTGAAAATAAAATCGTACGTTAAACTTCTGAGGCACATTGTTACTCCAGGATAGAAAGTTAGACGGTGATGATCATCTTGAATAACTTGAAAAATGATCCTGGAATAATAATAATAATAATAATAATAATATATATATATATATATATATATATATATATATATATATATATATATATATATATTTAAGTTATTAAGAACTTGGTAATCCAAGGAGGATGAAATCTTGAGAGCTCAATGTAAATTTAGAGTTAATATTAAAAAGAAAAAAACAGACCACTTTAAGGTACCATTATAATAATTTATTTCACCACAGCCATTTTAAAGGACGCCGGCTCATCAGATAGCACTTCCAAAAATGAAATGAAACGAAAATGAGATTAAAATTGATGGGTAGTGTAAGAAATAAATCTAGTAAATATGCAAATAAATATATATATATATATATATATATATATATATATATATATATATATATATATATATATATATATATATATATATATATATATATATGGGGGGGCGGGGGGTGTATGTATGTATGTGTATGTATGTATGTATGTATGTATTGAACTTTTGAATATATATTTGAACTTTATTTCAATCCTTCCTGAGCTCCCGATGCTTAGCTATGTTTAATTAACGAAGAAAATGCTATTTTCGTTTATGATCGATTTCATCACGATTCTTCTGTTAAGCTTGGAGATTAATTATGCACTCTTATTACTCAAAGTATAGCCGAATAGTGTAATAAAAAACCTCGGAGAATTCCAGTAAGATATCTTTAATCATTTTTAAGGTACAACGGTTCAAACTTAATCTAACAAATGGAAAATTTTGCTGTTACACCTGGCACACACACACATACACACACGTGTGTGTGTTTGTCTGTGTCGGTGTGTGAATAATAATAATAATTCCAGTTGAAACTTCCAGAAATTCTATGTTTATGCATATGCTTAGAAAAGAGGAATGTCTGCCCAATGTCACTAGAAGTGGGAAAGTTTCAGCTACCATGAAAATCAGCATTCAAATTCTTCACTTTTGACTACGTTTGAACGCCGTCTTTAGCTGCTGGAATCAAAGGTGATGCGATAAGCTCAAGCAGACCCACAGTTATATAAAAACGGACTGAGAGAACGAAATAACGAGAGACAACTGAAAATATAAGAAATCCTTGAAGACCTGCAATGGACGGTGAGAGCGGTTCCTTCATTCTTGGTGTATTGATCAAATCAACATCCATCGAATGTAAATGAAATCCAGAATACGAACGCTTCCCTAAGTTCAACATCGCCGAAATCCCGAAAGGAAGCAGACATATTTCATCCTCTTCCTCGATTGAATTATTCACGATTTTTCCTTTTATGCAGCATTGACCTTGGTTGACCTTCATTCCCCTAGCAAAGCGTCTCTTCTACGAAAAGAATCTTGGTAAAAAATATTTGATTATGACAAGAAAGCCACGATACTCTTTTCCTTTTCTATCTTTTATTGTTATATATATATATATATATATATATATATATATATATATATATATATATATATATATATATATATATATAAACATTTTCTTTAAAGCATTTCATTTCTTTTTTTTTCTTTTTTCCTATTTTTCCTTATTTTCTCATTTACTTTTACATGATTATCTCCCTTTTTCTTGATGAATTCAATTTCTTTCCAGCTTTCTTTTCTTTTTCTTTTTTGCCTTCTTTTCTGTGTTCCCTTCAACTTCTTTGTGTTTCTTTATTTATTATGTTTCCGCATTTTTATGTTGCCTTATTTTATTTTCTTTATTTATTTCATTCTCTATTTTTCTATTTTTTTTTCCTTTTTCGTTTTCCTTTTCTGTTTTTCCTTATATCTTTTTGCATTTGCACCTTTTCTCTTTTCTTCATTTTTGCTTCTCAATTTTTATTTTTTTATTTTCTTTTTAATCGATTTCATGCTTTATTCCTTCCCCCCCCTTTCTTGGTTACTTTCTTCTTTTCCATTTTAGCTTTTTTTCTTTCTTTCTCTTCTTTTGTCTTTTTTTTTCTATTTTCATTTACTTTTTAGACTTTCTTTCTTTTTATGTTTTTTTTTCATTTCCATCTTTTCTCTTTTCTTCCCTTATTTTTACTTCTCTTTTTTCTTTATTTTGATTTCCTATTTCATTCATTCATTCATTCATTCTTTCTTTCTTTCTTTCTTTCTTTCTTTCTCCTTATTCAATTTCACCTTCAGTTCTTCTGTCTTTTTTTTTCTTATTTTCACGAATTTACTTATCTCTTGAGTTTCACATAATGTCTTTCTATTAAACTTTTTTTAGGTTTCTACGTTTTTTTGTTACGACTTTTTTCTTCTCTCGCATTTTCTTCTCTTCAAAACATTCTTTCTTTTCCTGCTTTTTACCACTTCTTTCTTTTCTTTCATTATATATATATATATATATATATATATATATATATATATATATATATATATATATATGAAATGACAATTGGAAAAAAATCTTAGATTTTGCCGACACGTTTAGTTAAGTTATGAAAAACTTGGTAATCCGTATGGGTAATCCCAAGGAGGATGAAATCCTGAGAGCTCAATATAAATCCAGAGCTAATAAAACAGACCACTTTAATTCCATTATAATAATTTATTCCATCATCAGATAACACTTCCCAAAAATTTCATCTTTTTGGGAAGTGTTATCTGATGATCCGGCGTCCCTTAAAAGGTATCTGGTGAAATAAATTATTATAATGGAACCATAAAGTGGTCTGTTTTTTTTTTTATACTACATACACACACACACACACACACACACACACACACATATATATATATATATATATATATATATATATATATATATTGGTGTGTGTGTTTTTGTAGTATATGCCTCGGTCTGTGTACAAATATTACCAGAGTGATCGTAATATATATATATATATATATATATATATATATATATATATATATATATATAGTTTGGATTGGTTTGGTTTGCTTTACGATATGTTTAGCTCAATGGGTTATTTAATGCCAACAAAATTTTTATTGCTGGTAATTTTTTTAAATGTATTGTTGGTAATATTTTTCCATTAAAAATCCGTTTCTTGTAATATTTTTTTGGAAAAATGTATATCTGGTAATAATTTTTTTTCTTCAAAAATTTATTGCCGGTAATAATTTTTTACAAAGTATTTCTGCTATTAAAACCTTTTTTTACACTTTCATAGTGTTTTGATTCCAGATTGTGAGCTATCTATTTGCCCATAGCTGGGACATTAACAGGTGCTACCACCTCGAGTCGGGGAGGACCTGGGAACACCATTAATTAAGAGGTGATTCTACGCCCCTCAAAACCACCTGATCAGAGGCCTTGCTGTTGGACGTAGTTTATTGTGTTATCCATAACGCGGCTGTAGTTAATCGCCATACCTAGGACGGTACGTATATATGTATATATACACGTTTCGTTAAAAACGACTGACGCTGTGGTTAAGTTTTTATGTGTTCGTATCATTTTTTTTTCAAGACATAAATTACATAACATTATTTGAATGTTTTATATATCCAAGTGCTTTATCTCCTGAAAAGAAAAAAATGTTAGAGCTAAGAGCATTTCAAACATTATATAAAACTTAAATACAACACATTCTCTGTTGTTTTTAACGAAACTTGCATAAAAGAGGGGATTGATGTCCAAAACAAAACTGATATTACATTCACTTACGTGCTAATACCCTTGGGAAAGGTATGACTCCTCTAACTCTCCCTCCAGCTATGGGTAAAATAGCAGAACAGACTGGGTTCTATAGCCTTGGATGGCAACTGGTCTAGGTCAACTCTGAATTCGAAAACTGAGGAGGGTCGTTTGATAACCTTGTGGCACTCGATGCACCAGATCTCTGTATTCGTCCCTTCAAAAAGTGTGGAATTTTTTACTCATTCTTATCAGGTCCGAAATTTTATTTAAAAATGTTGTTTATTTCTGTCATCAAAATTACTTAAAAAAAGTAGCTATCAGCCATTTTTTTTCTAATTTTGTAAACAAGTTAAAAATCCTCGTTTATTTTTGGTATAATTATACCAAAAATCAATTCTACGTTTTTCAAAATTTATTTGACTAAAATTAGCAAATTTAAAGATTAGTTAAAATATTTTGAAAGAAGCTTTTACTTACTTTTTTCGAATAAAAAAATTGTTCGAAATAAAAAAGTAAGCGATCTGAACTGTGTTGTCATTTCTCGAGTGACAAGTGATACTTGTCATCACATATCGACAGCTAACGTGAGATTCGCGTTATCATACAGATGGTCATACGTGACGTAACGTTTTTTTGTTTTTTGTGTGAATCAGCTTATGTACTACCCCGTAATTAGTAGATAATAAAAAACAAAAAATTAGCATTCCAATTTCCTTTATTTTGTTATTTTATTATTACTGGAACTTAAAACATAACTTTGTTGATACTATCTATTGTTACGAGGATGCATTTCTATAATAAGGGATTCTTTGAGTTCTACTTGTTATTACAAAAAGTTTTCACTCATGAAATAGTTGTAAAATAGAGAAATTAGAAATAGAATGTTTGGAAGATTCTAGATCATTCTAGTATATTCGAGAAAATCTAGAAATATGTAAATTAGGTGTTAGCCCCTATAAAAATGGGATTTTTTGGAAAAGGGTTGTCAATGCTGTCAGTATCAACGTCTAGTCTGACCGTTTATTCTGTCTTTTGGAGGATTTACAATTGAACTTTTTTTGACTGCCCCAATCTAGCTAAGTTTTTGATTTATTTCTAACATTTTTCTAACTTCACTTTTCGACCTTTTTTGTTCAATTTATGACTTTTCTAACGTTCTCATTTTTGACTATTTGATTTTTTCCTTTTCATTTCCTTTCCTCTTATTTACCGGTACTTCTTTTTTATTTAGTTCTTCTCTATTTTTTTAATTAATTTCACGTTACTTCTTTTTTTTAGTTATTTCTTCTCTAATTAATTTTACGTTTTACTTTTTCATTGTTTAAATCTATTCTCTTCCCGTGCCCATACCCCGGAGTTTATCTGTTTATTTTTTCGTTTCACGTCCGACCTTTTTTTTTCTTCCCCTTTATCTATTTGTTTATTATTACGTGTTAATTATTTCTGTGTTTTTATTTTAATACCTGTTAAAAGTCTACGTTTTATCTGTTAATTATATAATATTTTAATTTTCGTGTTTAATTTATAATTTCTGTCCCTCCTCTTTTTACTTATTTAACGTTTTCATTGTTGGGTTGACCGGTTTTTTATCGGCAGCCATATTGTAAATTGTTAGATTTTTTAGTTTCGTACTTTATTTTGTATAGCGTTTACTCGTATTTTTTACGTTTATAACTATTTGTTTTTTTTATTGTGTAATTTGCTGCTTTCTTGTCTGTTGTTCTTTTAATTCTTTCCTCGTTTTCGTGAACTTTGTTCACAGTTTTCTTTTCTGTCCATTTGCTTTTGCGTTTTACCTGTTTACATTTGTGTTTATAAATTTTGCACACGTCCTTCTGTTTTTTCTGTTGATTCAAATTGTTGTCTCGTTGATAAGAAAAACTTTATTTTTACCCTCCCCTTTAATTTCTTTTTTCTCTTTTTTTCTCTTTCTCCCTCCGCCTATGAGGCGGTTCCCTACCCGTATTTACCCCTCCCCTTCCTTCTTAAAAAATGGAAAAAAAGGAAAAAAAACCTCCTTCCTTTTTAGCTATAAAAAAAAAGCCTAACCTATCGGACTATAGAAAGTCAATTCGAAAACATCTTTTCAACCCTACTAAAAAAGACCCCCCGGATAAAGATAATCTAAATGATTTTCCTGCACTTGAGTCCTCTTCCCCTAGCAACGTTAAAAACGCTGGGGAAAAAGAAGAAGAAAAAGGAAAAAATAATTCTACGGAAGCCAATAATGGCAACTTCAAGGAAAAAGTTAAAACTACGGAGGCCAATAATGGCCAAAATACTGAGATAGTCAAGGAAACGAGAAATGAACCGCAAAATAAGCCTGAGGCCGGGGAATCGCCCTCTTGTTGGTCGTCCCCTCCAAAGTGCATTATCAATTTAGCGGAGTTCTTGGAGCGTGCCAAGAGTTACGCCCACCTTGTTGTAGAAGGTGGACTCTTGGAAGACCCCCAAGAATTAAAGAAAATTGAAAAAAGAATAGTGTCGGTTTTCGTCGTGGACAAGCGTACGCGCAAAATTTGTCGCTCGACGAAAAACACAGTGTTGAAAGCACTAGAATCCTTCGGGTTCAAGCCCCTTAGAATAGTTAAGGGAGCTAAATTTTTCATGTGGGACGTACTGTTGCCCACACCGGAAGACTGCGTCGCCGCGGTTAGCCGCGAGCTGATAACAAAAGAAATTATACTGCGGACGGAGTATGAAGGCCGGAGAAGGACCAGGGTAACAGTATACGAGGTCCCTCCTCAAGTTATCGGGGAACATCTGGCAGCATTCTTCTCCCAGTATGGCGAAATTCTGGGAGCTTCCTGTGATAGCTTGAGCGGGGGTGGAGCTTTGACATCATGCTCGACGAGAAAGCCTTCCGCTCCATCCCCAACTGTCTGGATGTTGGGAGTTTGAAGTTACCGGTCATTGTGACGGGTCGAAGACCGGTATGCTGGAGGTGTGGAGGACTGGTCATCTCTCCTCCTCCTGCCCAGAGAAGAAGGCCTCTGGAAGTCAAGCCCCAGTCGTTCAAGATCCCCCTCTGACCGCGTCTGTAGATTCCGCCTCGCCTGTAATGGGCGTACCAGCCTCCGGGACCGGGTCGGTTAATCCTCCGGTTGGCGTGCCATCTAAAGCCACATTCCCCAAAGAGCCTTCGCCCGCTGCCAGTGCAGTTGTGGAGAAGGGGAGGGGAATGGCTGGTTGCTGGTAAGGCCAGAGGGAAGCGCCGGACAGCGGGTCCTCAGTCCCCTGAAGCCCCAAGGAAGAAAGGCACTTACAGCCCCACTCCCTCAAACAACGTTAAGGGCGATGCCCCGGCCTCTGAATTGACACTGCAGGAAAAACAAAAGAAGTTTGATCCAGGCTATGAAAAAGACTGAAAAAAAAAAAAAAGAGCTCAAGAAGCTATTAGATGCCAAATCCAAAGACCCTACCCCTTCAACGTCCTCTGCCCGGCCCACTCCTTCACCGAAGAAACAATCCTCGCCATCCAAATCCTCACCCCTCAGTAGAGATCCCAGCCCCTATAGACACAGGTCGTTTTATACCCCTCTACACACACCCACTCCCTCCCCCGTCAAACAAAAATCCTCCCCTATAGACACAG